CTTTGATAAAGTACAACTGGTGCACATGATGTTCAGCTCTCAGATGCTTAATGTTTTATTCCTCTCAAGTTTGTCAAGCACAGTAGCCTGTTCGAGAAAACGTCACAAGGCAAATCCTCAGCTAAGCAGCTCCATTTTTATCTGTTTTCCCTAAAATGTCATGCCAGTGAGGCCCTTGTTATCACTTCAACAAAAATGAACCCACAGTGCTTTTTATCTTTGCCCCAAAAATTTATATGTTTGCTGTTTGAATCTGCGGCACATGAAGGAATTTTTGGTTCCACCAGTGACAAAATGTCTTAATTTTTTATAACAGAACCAGAAAATGTTTTTTCCATCATGGAACTGATTTTAAATGTGTCGAGACAAGCTTTTTCAACTATAAGATCTATAACTGGTGCAGCAAGAATGTGCAGGAAAATTCTGAGGTCATTGTTGAGTTGGGATACATGCTATTTTATTTCATTTGGGATTTATTTAATTTTTATATCTCATCCAATAAATCCAACATACTTATTGTGATAACTGGTATGTAAATATAGGTATTTAAAAAAAATCTGGATTAAGACATGGTTTGTGGCCGGAACAAAATCTTTAGAAGAAGAAGAAAAGATATTTTCTATAGTGCCTCTCAAGATGCGTGCTAGGCATTATAAATAGTAGCTTGACATTGGCTGAAGTTCCTCGTGCCTTTAAACACGCTGTTCTACAACCAATCCTGAAAAAACCCGGCCTTGATCCCACCGATTACTCTAATCTCCGATCAATTTCCAAATTACCATTTTTTATCTAAGGTTCTTGAGAAAATAGTCTATGCACAGTTGGTGAAACATCTAAATGAAATTCAGATAATGGACATCTGTCAGTCTGGTTTTAGAAAACAGCACAGCACTGAAACTGCTCACGTTCGGGTATTTAATGACATTTTTCTGGCTTTAGATTCAGGTTTCCATGTGGTTCTGGTACTTTTGGATCTATCTGCAGCATTCGACACGATCGATCATGACATTTTGATCACAAGACTTCACACTTGGGCTGGCATTTCAGGCACAGCCCTAGATTGGTTTAGGTCATACTTTTGTAACAGGTCTGCTAGGGTCATGTTGGATGGCTGTTCATCCGAGTCACAGCCTCTACGTTGGGGTGTCCCACAAGGTTCAATTCTCGGCCCGTTACTGTTCAACCTCTATATACTGCCCTTAGGAGCCATTTTCAGAAAGCACGCTGTCTCATACCATCTTTACGCTGACGACTGTCAAATCTATTTTTCATTTAAGCCAACTCAGTCAACAAAAGTTCTGTCTGATTGTATCCTTGAGGTCAAGCAATGGCTAGCTGACAACTTCCTCCATCTTAATGACTCCAAAACTGACTTAATCGTTTTCCGTCCTAACAGTATCACGGCAACTCATCAACATGACCTCAGCTATCTCTCACCTAATGTATCCTCTGTAATCTCCAACCTTGGAGTAAAAATGGACCAGGCTCTGAAGATGGATGCCCAGGTCAATAACACAGTTAAATCATGTTTTTACCAACTAAGACACATCTCGAAACTAAAGCACATCCTGAGTGTCCATCTTCTGAAATCTGTGGTCCACACTTTCATCACTTCAAGGCTGGATTGCTCCAACTCCTGCTTATATGGCATCAGTAAAGCAGCTCTTTCTAGACTTCAGCTGCTCCAGAATTCAGCAGCTAGGTTGCTGACTGGAGCTGACAGAAGACAACACATTTCTCCAATTCTGAAATCTCTCCACTGGTTGCCCGTGCAGTTTAGGATAAATTTCAAAATTATGCTTCTGACTTACAAATCCTTGAACCATCAAGCTCCTCCATATCTGTGTGAACTTGTCCATTACTACAACCCGCCGCGTGCTCTCAGGTCTGAAGATAAGCTCCTCCTAGCTGTTCCAAATGCACGTTTAAAAAGCCGTGGAGAAAGGGCTTTCTCTGTCTGTGCACCGAAGCTGTGGAACGCATTACCACTGCTAGTGAGGCAAGCACCAACAGCTAGCATTTTTAAATCACGCTTGAAAACTCACTACTTCAACCTAGCTTATATAACATAATTATCACCATCACTTACATCTGCATTGTTTAAAAATGGACTTTACAATATCAACTTCCATACTATTGAGGTTCGTTTTTAAAATGTTTTTCTAATTTTTATTCTCCCTGTGTCTTATTGATTTTTAGCTGTTAGTTTTTGGGAATTTTGTTGTATTTCCTTTTTATCTTTTATCTGTGTTCGACATGTTTGTATAACGCCGGTTGGATTAACTAACATTTTTAGTGTACAGCGCCTTGTTTGGTTGTAATGCCTTGTGAATGCGCTTTATAAATAAAATTGGATTGGATTGGAAGATAAAAATCATGAAGCGCTTCACAAAAACAAAAATAGGAAAGAGGGAAATCAGTGGATCCTGAGGAAGGTGGAATAGGTGGGGAGAGCAGAATAAAGAGAGAGGGTTTGAAGGTCACACAAAACCATTCTGAACAGGTGAGTTTTCAGCTGCTTTTTAAAGGAGACCACTGAGTCCACTGATCTCAGGCTCAGGGGGAGAGAGTTCCAGAGTCTGGAGGCCACAGCAGCAAATGATCTGTCACCTTTGGTCTTTAGCCTGGTGCGCTGCACAACCAGTAGGCTTTGATCACTGGACCTCAGGGACCTGCTGGGGGTCTAGAGACTAAGAAGATCACCAATGTAAGATGGTGCTTGTCCATGTAAGGCCCTATAGACCAGAACCAGGATCTTGAAATGAACCCTGAAGTTGAGTGGCAACCAATGAAGCTGGAGGAGAAGTGAGTGGGGTGATGTGGGTGTGTTTGGAGGACTTGGTCAGAAGCCGAGCACAGGCATTCTGAACCACCTGTAGACGGTTCAGGGAGGTTCTGCTCAGACACGTGAAAAGAGAGTTGCAGTAGTTTAAGCGGCAGGAGATGAAGGTGTGGATAACGGTCTCAAGTTCAGAGCAGGACAGAATGGGACTCAGCTTAGCCAACTTTAGGTGTGTTTTAAAGACAAAGTTCACTGAGAAACAGTTTTTTTTACTTAAGTTTTTAAATATGGTCTGTCATTCTGAGCTTCACATACAGGCTGAATGTGAAAATAATCTTCTACCCCTATTTCCTCTACTAGCCACTGATAGAAAATAGACATGGTAACACTTGGATGAGAAAAACCACACAGATCTACATCATTGGTCTCAAGTATGATTGCATACTAAATGAATCTCTGTGGGGGAAAAAGCTCTCGTGCTCCTGTTTCAGGAAGTAGAAGTTGGCTAGAGGAGTGAGGAACAGAACACATTCAGGGTGTTTCTCAATGCCAAGGAACCTCACCTTGATATCTTGGCCCCGCCCCGGTTGTCTAGGAGATGCGTCATCAGGAACCACCAAGGCGTGCTCCAATGTTTATGTTCTACAGAGGCGTGTGTTCTCCGTTTGTTAGCCGTTTAGCTAGCTGAGCAAGGATACATGGGAGGTATCTTGTAGCCTAGCCTTGGTCAAAAATTTCCCAGAATACACCGCAGTATTTTCAAAAGGATGGCGGATCAGAAGCCAGAAGCTACTTCAGGGACAAATTTCTAGTTTAAAAGTAAGTCAACTAATTTAAAATGTTTTTTTAGATCCAAAGAAGTTATCTATGGTTGGCTAGTTGCTTAGTATGTGTAACTTCGGTGGCTAGCGGGTAGTAACTCACTTGCATATTTAATTTAACATATATATATATACACATATTTATATTTATACACATATTTATATTTATACACATATTTATATTGAAACTAATATGTATAAAGTATAACGTTATCTCCCGTGTCACGTGGCATTACGTGTTTGCCGTGGAAGGCGTGGTCAAGTGATGCAAGTCTGTTCCATTTAAGCTTTTTCTTTGACCATGGAAGGAGTGTCCTCGTAAACAAGGCGCCTGGCCTTGCAAGACATCGCCTCACAAGGCCAGACGCCTTGACATTGAGAAACACCCTCAGAGTCTTATTTCCTGAAATTCAGACATCTCACCTCTGATTGGCTAACAGCAATGCAACTCTACCACTGACTCTGCACTGCAACGTTCATGTTTTATCTCCACACATAACAATAGGCTGATGGAGGTGTGCCGTGTGGTGGAGTTGCTAATGCTAACTCACCAAGATGGGTGAGTCCATGATTTTTAAGTGACCGTGTGATGTAGTTCTGTCAGACTTTTCAAATCCTACTTTTATTTCTATCAGAAGCTAATGCAGGAGATAGGTGTAGGAGATTATTTTCATGTTCAGCCTGCATGAAAAAGTCAGAATGACTGATAATTTTCAAAATAATAAGTAATAAATGGTTTCTCAGTAAACTTGCTCTAGAGAAGACATGATGAGGTGTTACAAACAAATTTTGTTTGTGTTTATTTAATGTACTTTCTACTCCACATCTTCTACTCTCATTCCTGGTCTGTGGATATAACATCTATTAGAATAAATGATTAAACCTTATAAATGATGTATCCTCTGTGTTCTCTTGTGACAAGTTTGCTTATCTGTTAATGTGTACTCAATGTGTGTTCATGCTAATAATCAGTTGGTTGTGCCAAAGCATTCGCCTCGGTCTATCTTTTCACTGTAAAGATGGTGGTAATGAGCTGATTACTTGTGCAGAAGGAAAAGTGGCTCACCAAAATCTCACCACGAATTTGATGCACTCCTTTGTCTTCAAGTCCTTAACTGACCACATTATACAAAAGAATCTCCTTTTGAAAGTGTATATTGTCACAAATAAATCATCTGTTTTCTAGCTTCCTTCCGTCGTGGTATTATCTAATCAGATGCAGAAACCAAACAAGCCAAATTAAGACTTATCGGGAATATTTAAGGGATCAAAATAACTAAAATACCCCCCCCCCCCCCCCCCCCAACATATGAATCCTTTACTGTTCCAAATTTGTATAAAATTCCTCATAAAAGTGAAGTACCGTATTTTCCCGACTACAAGTCACACTTTTTTCATAGTCTGGCTGGTCCTGCGACTTATACTCCAGAGCGACTACCAAATTATGTATACCGCGCTGCTGCGGGCCGGCTCCGGACCGGAAATGAGCTCCCCTGCCCCGCCATCACCTGCTAGAGACCGTTGCGCGCTGCTGCGGGCCGGCTCTGGTCCAGGTTTCGGCTCCTCTGCCCCGCTGGGAGGGTATCAAACACCGCCATCCCCTGCCGCAGCCTGTGGCGGGGTGCTGCGGGTGCTCTCCCCGCCCGCTGGGAGGGTTTGACACACCGCCATCCTCTGCTGGAGACCGTGGTGCGCTGTTGCGCCCTGATTGTTTATTCTGTTATTGTTACCGGTACTTGTCTTGTAATGTGAAATGCTTGGTCTTAGATTTTGTAAGAAAATAATAAAATTTCCCCCCAAAATGCGACAGTCCAGTGTGACTTATATATGTTTTTTTCTTCTTCATTATACATTTTATGGCTGGTGCGACTTATACTCTGGAGCAACTTATAGTCCAGAAAATACGGTAATTGTTAGCAAGTTTCTTTGTTGAATGACATGAGCAATGTTTGTGTACCAAAACCATCAAAGGTTTGTGTCATGAGTCTTTGCGTAAAGTTTGAGAGTGATAGCATTGGACAAGGTCTGGCTGGTCGATGGTGATAGTTGTGCTGCTCAACAGTGAGGTGTGCCATACCCACCACCTCCTCTCTGAAAGGCTCCTAAAGCCTTTAAAAATACCCAGACCCAATGATCACCAACTCTGAGGTGTTTTTGGGTAATAACCCACCTGCAGGGATGATCCCGATGCGTGAAAGGCACGACACCAACTCTGCATCTGGCCGGTTTTGATCTACATCGTGGTCACGTTGGGTCCTGGTAACCAGCCCGTGCAGGATCTCACTGAACATTCCATCTCCACCCACACACACCACCCTGGAGGGATACAGTAAATAACAACTTACAAGTGTTTGTCTTATTTTGCTTTTTTTTTATTTACAGCAGTTTTTTTTTCCATGTTAGCATGCCTGCTGGTTGTTATATAATGAATAGAGCTTCATGTACATTTAAGGCACAGAAATCAGAAGAAAAATAACTACATGGCAAGAAAACATTGACAATAATGAAACAGGGCAGCTGTGAAACCCTACAATAAATAGGAATATCACGCAGTGCCACCAGACATTACACCTTCCTAAATCTAACTCAAAACCAACTGAAATGCATCTATAAATTACACGCACTGCAGAAAGAAAAGCCATAATGGACTCTAACCCTGCTTCTGTTGTAACAAATATAGGATGAATAGGAGCTGAAATGGCAAGGTGCTCAGCGGGAACAAAAGAACCCCTTTTGTTCACTTTCTTTACCCTTGGCTTCTTGCTTGGCTCAAATACTTTACGAGTTGAACTGAAAACACAACCTTGACGTATGTCAGCAATTTTTCCATTTTAATTTGTGTTGTGGTTGTAAGAAAAAAAAACCAGGAGAGGTAATCTGTTTTTAAATGTTATGGGATCACGCTGACTAATTAAACAGCTATCAGCGACTCAGACTTTTCAGCTTGGTGTGGGCCAGTTTAGGGTTTGGTAATAACCATTGCTTTCAGAAATTCCTCATGTCATAAATTCAGCAAGGTGTTCCTCAGAGATTCTGGTCTATGTTGACATGACAACTTACCACAGTTGCATCCATGATGTGAATTTCCTATTCTACCACATCTCAAAATGTTTTGGACTGGACTGAGATCTGGTGACTGTGGAGGCATGGTCATGTTCTAGAACCCGGTTAGAGATGATCAGAGTTTTGTGACATGGTGCTTTGTCCCGCTTGAAGCAGCCTTCAGAAGATGGGTCCATGTGGTCATAAAGGGATGGACATGTTCAGGAGCAATACTCAGGTAGGCTGTGGTAGGCTCAAGTTGTCCATGCCAAATTCTGACCCGACCATCTGAATGTTGCAGCTGAAATCCAGAACTGGAAACATTATCCAGTTTCTTATGGTCTGGTTCTGCCGGCCCTGTGTTAGTGATAGCCTCGGTTTACTGTTCTTGGATGACAGGAGTGACACCTGATGTGGTCTTCTGCTGCTGGAGTCCTATTGCTTCAAGATACATGATGTGGAAGAAATGTGCTTTTTTGCAAACCTTGGTTGGAACCATTGGTTAGTTCAGCTGTTGTAACATTTCAATCACCTCCAACCAGTCTGCTTGTTCACCTCTGACATGAACAAGGCCTTTTGAACCACTCAACTGATGCTCACTCAATATTTTATCTTTTTCAGGCCATTGTATGTAAGCCTCATAGATTTTTGTGGGTGAAAATCCCAGTCCCAGTTGGCACAGCAACCATTTTACATGATGCTCAGTTTTAACTTCAGCTTGTCCTCTACCCCAGGTCTAGATGTCCTAAATGCACTGAGTTGCTGCCATGTTGTGTTAACAAGTATCTAATAAAGTAGCCAGTGAGTGAATGTGTCTTAAATTTGAATATGAAGGACCAACTGCCTTGAAATACTCACCCATCATATTTGTCTAGATTAGCCTCAGTTCTCAAGTGGTCTCTGGCATGATTAGCACGCTCCGTAACTGTGAAAACCAATTAAACAACCATTAATTCAACTGTAATAAAAAGGCAGGGTAAAAACAAAATCACTGAACTTTTCGTGGCCTGATTGGAGCATAAAGTGTGTTGTTCCAAGCTTTTGGGGGAGAAAACGAAAAGAAAACATGACTAGGAAAAGCAATGCTCTTGTTTGCTGAAACCCACTGAGCAGATTAATGTTCTGAAAAAGCCGGGGCACAGTAGTCCAAACAGCCTCATTCAGCTATTGTACTGTATATTAACAAAATGAGCCCTGAGACAGACGAAACAAAAACATAATTTCAACAGTAAATCTGTTTACCAGTCGTATAATACCAGCACAAATATAATCATTGCAATTCAAAGCAGCTATAGGAAGCCCAGAGTGAACAGTACTCATTGTGATGGACCATCAATACTCCAGACTATGTGCTGCAGCAGCACTTATTAAATAATAGATGTGTTTGGATACCCAAGCTTATCAAGTATCACGGCTTCCGTTAAGGTGATAGTGTGATTAATGCCGCTATAAGCAAAAGCATATCCTTGAGTGGCTCCTCTGTACTCGTGAGAGGCCCACGGTGGCAGCACAGATCTATACAGTGGCCTTCGAGACTCATTTTTTATTTAAATGTTGTGGAATGTTACTGATAGAGACCCACCAATCACATCTGTAAAGATGCCGGCTTGCCGAAAAACAGGTGCCACCTTCTGCTCGTAAATACGCTTTCCACGCTGCTTTCCTCCGCAAGGATTGATGTACACCAGCAGGCTCTTTGGTCGGTTGGCTGCAAAGTGAAGGATAGTCAATGAATTTAATTTCTTTTTTTTCTGACACCAGCTTGATTAGGTTTTCATTAACCAGAGACCTTTTTAAAATTGAACATTCCACCTGTCTGACGCTCAAAAACAGCGCTCAAAAAAATAAATGACACGTCTGCTAAGTGTGAAAGGAGAATGAAGTGATGTAGGAGCACTGCATCACTTTGTGATAAACCTACAAGTGCTGCGATAGGTAATACTAAATGGCTTGTTTAGGGCTGTTGTAGGAGGCTGAATTTGGGAGAAAACAACCGAGATACAGCAGCTGATGCTTTAAAAACGGAATGAAATTAGATCAAATGTAAAGCGAGCAAAAAGGCTCCACATCTTTTGGCAATAAGACAAAAGTTCCAATAGATTACACAAATGGATTGTCAATGAATGGTTTAAAGGTGCATTATGGAGGAGACTTACACTATTAAAGACACACACACACTTCATCTTCACAATGAATGAGGTCAATTTCCTTGAGTTGATTAATCTTGTCAAGCAGAACGTGATGAAGGGGACCGTTTCAGATGGATTAAACCAAACTTAACGGGATCTTTCAGCCTTTGTGTTTCTGTGCAAAAAGTAATGACTATCTGACTCCTTACAAAGAGCTTTTTGGATAGCCTCTGTTCAAATATAGTTTTATAATTAAACTGATAAACAAGTTCAAATGCAAATAAAATTTTGAAGTGTATTATAAAAATATTAAATGTCTTAAAAGATGGAACTTATATTTTAAGATTTGTTAGACATGAAAATGAAACCTAGAAGCTGAAGCCAGAAAAAAAAACACGCTCCCCCTAGTGGCTGGTTCCAGTATAATGTTTAAGTAGTTGAGATTTTTGGCATTCTGTCCCAGCATAGACTTCCAAAACCACAATATAGCAGCAGAACAGTTAATGTTATTTTGTAAACCACAACCTGTTCTCCATACTCTGCTACTTTGGTAGAAATATTAGGTACTATTTGCTGTAAATAACCACTAATATATAATACATGATAATGTTGTGTTATAATAGCCCAACATGCCATCCTACATACATAAATATATAGTCTGGCCATGACCCATTGACAGATTTCAGTCATGGGACAGTCTGCCATACACAGTCAAAGAAGACTCAAATACATCCTTTTTCTAAATAAAGGACTTAAGTACCTCTATCTACTCTTCACTCGAAGAAAAAACCAAGTCTAAATAGTTCAAAGTTGATGGCAAAGCAGTTTCATTTGTATTTTGTCCTTAACAGCTTTTGTTTGTTAAAATAGAATTTACAACCTCTGGTACTGAGGAGCTAAGGGCTAGTCTGAACCAGTTAAGCTAAATTTTATAGCCAGAGCTATGAGACTAGCTTAGAAATCTAAGTAAAATTATATTGCTGTGCATGTCGGTCTAGCTCCAAAGGAGCCTCAGCAGGTCTATTATTGGCCTGATCAGTTTTGTGTTATGCCAATCACAGTGCTCCATCGTTGGGCCAATCCCAATGCGGTTTGGTGGTGACGCAACAGTGTGGAACAACTAAGATGGCAGCAGTTCATTTGAAATGACTTTGAGATCAAACTCACTAAACTTAGACTTTTCTTTGAGTCAAGAGCAGATAGAGGTACTTAAGTCATTTATTTAGAAAAAAGATATATTTGTGTTTTCTTGGGCATTGTACAGTGGACTGCCCAGTTGACTGACATCCATGGTGGTGAGTATTTTCCGTTGTTTGTTGTCCCATTACATGCAGAGAGTGGACCGTTAGGAAGACAAGCCTAGATCCCGCCCCACGTAGACATCTGTTTATGGGTCATGGACAGACTATATGCCAGGTTAACTTAAATGTTCTTTAGGATAATAAACCCTTTCATGTCCCTGTTTTTCAGATTAGTTTTATATTTTATTTATTTAATAAAATTAAGAGTATTTTCAAAATAAGCTAGAAGAACTTCACCGTGCTTTACCAAGTGATTGGCCTGATGGACAAAGGGTTAAAACGTGTCTGTGCTTAAAAAGTGCTTGTAATTATTACGCCTCACAGTCGTGTTCCAGTTGTGTCAGATTGGAGGAAAACAAATAAAAATGCTATTTTATTACAAGTTTAACCCTTTCAACAGGCAGCTTTGAGGGTTACACTTGTCTGCGTGCAAAAACAGTCACATCTAGTCTCCACATTTTTCTCACCATCTAAAACTCTTATTGTTCCATAAAATTGTAATTCACTATCAGTTTCAGATGCCAGGAGAATTATATTTTCTTGTGTTTTTATATTTTTATTCAGTTTCTGCTGGATTTCTCTGAGCAGCTAATAAAAAGCCCACAGTTAGTTTGTATTTGTTGAGTAACTGTAGTGACTCTTTTTGATACAGACATGATCGTGTTTGCTAGATAAAGTGTGTGCATGCGTAAAAGAGGTTTTCACCTCTAGCTTAATAAACTTCATTTATTTGTATTTGCCCTCATCTGCACTAAGTGAAGTTTAACAACTTTGTGTGCTTCAGCTTTTATTTTGTTAACTACTTTTGGCAAAAAGCCACAGCTAGAGTCCACCATTAATGATTTATAGTCAATAAACAGTTTGAGTCCAAAGTGCAGCACCATATCTGATGAAAAAAGACATCAGGGAGCACCTACTGAGTAATGACAGCTGCTCATTCGTAACTTGGATCCACTGCTCACAGAGTCCCCGGCTGTCGCAGAGGAACGTCACATCGCTGCACTGCCACTGGTGCTGCTTCATCCGCCGCACGTAGGAAACTGTAAGGAAATAAAAAGATGCATTAAATTAGAAGGTAATACCTCATGTGTGTAAACAGAGGAAATAAAAAGCCTCCAAAGCTTATTTGGTCATAAGTGAACCATCACTTTCTTTCACTTACAGCAACTGCCCTGAAAATGAACCCGTGTTTTACTTCCCACCAACGGGGTCAATCACACATGGAAATGACTGAGTAAGACATGATGGAGGAAATCAGTTAAGCGAAGCAAAAAAAAAGGAAAAAAAAGTGAACATTCATAATGTTTTTAGCATAACATCAATGAAATATTTACATTAAGCAGAAATTCACTCACTAAGCACTTTGACAGCAGATTCACTCAGTAAGCATTTCAAAGTCAAATGATCCCACTAAGCATTTCTTCTCATCAGCTGAAAAACCTGAATTTTCATGGAGGAGCTGCAGTCTGAATCATTAACAGAAGCTGGAGCAAGGCAGGCGGAGCGGGGTTTGAGGTGGGTGTAAAATCACCCTCTAATGGGTTACATCATCAGGATGTTAATGATGGGACGTGTCTTTAAAGCCGCACGCTGTCGCCAAGCAGTCGTGTCAACGTCAACGCCTGTAAAAGCCCACATTAGAGAATTCAATTTTCTAGATCTGGCTGTGATAAATAATTTAAGTCCTTATCTTGTTTGGATGTAATCTAATGACTTCAAATAAAAACTGGCTCTAAAGAGGCAGGCGCTCAGCCATCGGGGACCTGGGGAGGGTTGGTCCTGTTAAAGCCCAGAGAGATGTCTGCAGCTGTTTTAGAGCTAGGGGATTATTTTTGACTGGTGGAACTGGGCTGCGGTCATAGGTGTAACAGGAACTAAAGATGCTGCATCTTTTCCTAAAAAGGACCTTTTCTTAGCCTAGAAAGCTGGACCGACCGTAGCTGAAGCAAAATGGATTTTGCCCTGCAGGTCGGTCTACCAACACTCCTAAGCAGACCCAAACAGTCTTGTGTTATGCCAATCACAGCGCTCTATCGATTTGATGGGCCAATCACAGCGCTCTATCGATTTGATGGGCCAATCACAGCAGGGTTTCCCCCAGCGCTTTATAAACCTGGCAGCCCACCAGGCTTTGCTTGGCCACCCACCAGGCTAATGTGAAAAACAGCAGCAGAACGTGTGCAACCCCCACCCCCGCTCTCAAGGAGGAGCGCTGCGGGATGGAGCGTGACCCCCACCCCCACCCCCTCTGACGGCTGAATCCGCCAGGCTTAACTCATTTTCTGGGGGAAACCCTGCACAGTTATTTATCAGTTTGGTGGTGCAATGAGTGGAACAACTGAGATGAAGATGCCTTTGAAACGGCTTTGGTATCAACTTTGGACTTTCTAGACATGGTCTTTTTGAGTGAAGAGCAGATAGCAGTACAGGCTAATGCATTTTATGAATTCAAGAGTAACTTTTTCTACCTGTGAATGCGTAGGGAACAAACTGAGACGATTCCTTATTCTTTTTCTGAGTCCTCCTCATCTGTGGTTGGTCCTCGTCTTCTGGCTTGTGGACAGCCACAATTTCACTTACAGGAACAGCATGGCTGAGATCTGAAAGACATTCACTTAGTCAAATGCACTATCAAAAATTTTTCAGTTTGGCTAAAGTATAAACTAGGAAACACATTAAAATGTATTAATTAAAAATCTAAACTGTTATTTATTGTTATACAACCAAACAACAATATAGTCATGATAATATCTTTTGACAGCTGTAGTACATAAGAAACCCCACAAGATCACCTTTATTATGTATTGTAAGCAGCCTGCAACACTTTGACCATTACACCTACAAGGGCCATAAAGGACTTGCACTGTCACAAGCCCAGCTGCTGTAACTACCTGTAGCTGCCCCATCGCTAGGGCTCTGCAAACAGCTGAGAGGCGGCGACTGTGTTTTTAAAGAAAACAAACTCTGAGCCAATTCAAGCTGCGGTTCGCAGATGGTTAAATACAGAAAATGAAGTTTAAACTTCTTAGTAAACAATTTAGATGCTGGTGAGAAAAAAAAGCTAATGAAACTCTAAGGCCAGACTGTGCTACAGTTTTTCTGCTGCATCACTATGAACTCTGGCTCCAAATGCAGTCACATCCAAAAATTAGCAACATTTCTTCCTGATGAAAATGATGGAAGCATCACGCACGAGCTTTACCTGATCCTAACTTAAAGTCCCATTAGTCATCATCACTCACTCGTGATATTACATCTCTGCATTTGACCCATCCTTGTAGCGAGTGGCGAGCTGCAGTTGTGCCTGTGTTTGGGAACTATTTGGTGGTTTAAGTCCCCGGTCCAACCCCTTACAGCTGAGTGTCAAGCAGGGTGGCATTGGGTCCCATTTTAAAACCTTTAGTATGACCCAACCGTGGATTTGAACCCCAGCCTCCCAGTCCCAGGGTAGACACTCTTACCATAGGACCACTGAGAAGGATCGATGTACTTGATCTGAGAAATTATGTCTAATGTTTGGTTTCAATATTTATCTGTGCTACATAGTTTCTGCTTCAGTTTAAATTAATCTACATTTATTTTTGGAGTTTTATCCTATTTTAAGTGGTAATGGTTACATTTTTACTGTTTGTGGTCTTTGTACAGTTTTGAGGGTGTATTTTCATATGATGTAATCCATTAACATATTTGAGAGAGGACAATAAGAGGAATTAATCTGATAAAACCACGACAGCCAGTAAATCCTTGTTTCCAAGATTTGCTGTAAATCTTGTAATAATTCAACAACAATAGTGACCAAAAGAACACATTTAAAACTTGACTTTTATGTGAGTAATATTAACTCACAATAAGCTTAACTGACCCCTTCACCCCATCACTCACAGGCCCTGAAGCCTCTCCTGCAAAATGAATTCAGCCGATCTGGTGAAATGGATGGGAGGGAGGCATGGCATGCAATTTTTCTCCTGGGAGTGCGAGAGAATAAGATTTCATTTCTTTCTCAAATAAAGATGATATGCCACGCTGGTATGAATAACTTTGTGGCCATCGACATTCACATTTTGACGAATGGGAATAAGACTTATGGGTTCGTGGGTAATGGTTTTCTTTTAAAGGAAGAGAAAAAACCAAAGAAAAAACTGTGCTTTATTCCAACTACTTGGAAAATGTTCTCACGTGCTCTGCTCAACTGATCGCTGATGTTGAGTGACAATTTAAAATGATCCTTTCAATGTAATTGTAAATCTAAATAAGGACAAGATATCACAAAATCTGAACTAAACCTCAGTAATTTCTCAATGACGGGGTTAAAGTGGTTTATTTTGGCTAAGAACATGTAAAAAGGCAAGAGTTACTTTTATGTATCTGATCGTCACTTATATCCATCCCTCCACTGATGTCTCATAAAAGAGGCGAACGGTGCAGTATTCGTTTTAGATTTTAATAACAGCATGAGAGGGTTATAATGAGCTATCTAGACTAACTAAAAAGCAAGCTGCATAAAATTAAATCAGAAAGATTTGATAGAAATGACAAAATCACTCAGTCCTGAACAGATCATTCACAGCTCAGCCTGAGTGATGTTTTTGTAGCTTTAATTCACACAATTTAAGATTTAAAAAGGTTCTGTTATGTTACCCACTGTTTACGCTTCCCGGCAAAAAACGTCTAACAACTGGCTTTAGGTTATTTCCAACACTGGGCTCATATCTTATTTATTGTTAAATGTAATCCCATGTTAAACAGGTTTGTAGGATTTCCTTCTTCCACCTTCAGAATTTTGCTAAGAGCATCTTTTCCAGGAGTGATGCTGAAAAACTAGTCCATGCATTTATTACCTTTAGACCGGATTCTTGTAATTCACTGCTATCAGGAAGTCCAGACTGTAGTTAAAAGTCTCCAGCTTGTCCAAAATGCTGCAGCTAGAGTTCTGATAAGAATTAAAAAGAGAGATCATATATCTCCTGTCTTAGCTTCCTTTCATTGGCTGCCTGTTAAATTCAGAATAGATTTTAAGGTCCTTCTTCTCACATATAAAGCTCGTAATAATCAAGCTCCATTATGACCTGATTGTTCCATACGTTCCTAACCGAGCACTTTGCTTTCAAACTGCAGGTTTACTGGTGGTTCCTAGAATATCTAAAAAATAGGATGGGAGGCAGATCTTTTAGCTATCACGCTCTTCTCTTTTGGAACCAGCTCCCAGCCTTAGTCCGTGAGGCAGACACCTTGTCTACTTTTAAGACTAGCCTTAAAACATTTTTATTTGATAGGGCCTATGGTTAAAATCTGATGTTAGCCTCAATCTGGACAAGTGGGGGAGTACAGGGAGGTGGAGTGTACAGTCGGTAAAGACGGCTCTCCCTTGCCCTACCTCCAACATGCCTCCATCTAAAAGGCTAGGTTATCCAGAGTTATCTCTGTCGTTATGCTGCTATAGGCTTAGACTGCTGGAGGATACACTGACCACTTTTCACACTCTACTACTTTCTTCTACAATTTGCTCTTAAACTGCATTATTTCCTGCTATTTCAGCTGTTAACTCTAAGTGTTTTTCCTCCTCAGAAGAAGCTACAATGGTGTCCTACTACTACTACTACATTAGGTATATATGCTGTGTGTGTGTGGGTGTTGGCGTGTGCGTGCCTGCTCGATCCCCAGTGAGTCGTGGTGGATGGCTGCTTATACTGAGCCAGGATCCTCTGGAGGTTTCTTCCTGTCAAAAGGGAATTTTTCTCTCCACTGTTGCTACATGCTTGATTAGTATGAGGATTGCTGTATAGTCACTGACACTAGTCAGTGACTCCATGCAATCTGCTGGGTTCCTTATATAAAGAAACCTTTTACTGATTGGCTTAATGAACTGAACTGTATTGGAAGTGCCTTGAGACGACTCTTGTCGTGATTTGGTGCTATATAAATAAACTGAATTGAATCTTGTTAATTCTTCAGCTTCTTTTACTGTTTTATTAGATTTAGTAACATTATCTTCATCTAACTGCTCATCAGATCAACTGGAGGCCTTCTTTGCTCTAAACAGAAGCCTAGTGTGCGATGAAACACGCTTGGTGTGTGTGTGCGTGCGTGCGTGCGTGCGTGCGTGCGTGTGTGTGTGTGTGTGTGTGTGTGTGTGTGTGTGTGTGTGTGTGTGTGTGTGTGTGTCTGCTCTGTCTTCTCGATCCCCAGTGAGTCGTGGAGGATGGCTGCTCATACTGAGCCAGGATTCTCTGGAGTTTTCCTCTCCACTGTCGCTGTATGCTTGCTTAGTATGAGGATTGCTGTATAGTCACTGACACTAGTCAGTGACTTGATGCAATTTGCTGGGTTCCTTATATAGGACACATTATTTCTGATTGGCTTAATGAACTGTGAATTGGAATGTTTATTATGTGAAGTGCCTTGAGACGACTCTTGTCGTGATTTGGCACTATATAAATAAAACTGAATTGAATTGAATTGGTTTGATATCTTGACTTTTCTTCAGAAACTGTTGTTATAGGGGAATTCCTATCCTTTTTCCTGTCATGTTGGCTTTTTTAAATGGACAATCTCCTGGTTCCTGTCCTCACATTCATGAAAGAGGTGCTGTAAAAAATGACCACCAATGAGTGTTGATGCACTGTGTGACCCAGACTTTTTTCTTTTGGAGTCAGAGGAAATTAAGAGGCCGTAATATTAAACAGTGCTTCCTCTGGCTTTGTGATTGAGACATTTGAGTGAAATTATCCTTGTATCCAGTTTGTGCTGAATGTCTGTAAGTTGAAATTACTCCCATACCCAGCTTATTTAAGTTCCATATTTGTCTTATAAAAGCCTTTATTTTGAGCTGCTAGCATTCCCGTCTCCACCTGTGGTGTGCACTCTCCCCAGTGTGCGTACATATGGAGACGACACGTGACTGACAAAATAAAACATGGATCAGCTGTTTGTGTGCTTTGTGATACTGGTGGCTGGGATAACCTGCTATGACAGCATCCTTTCCACTGATTTGTGAAAACTGTTTCTCATTTCTAATCTGTCTCTAAAACGGTCTTATGAAGGTTTCAAGTGTATTATTCTGCAAACAGGAGCTAGTATCTAGATAATTTGATAAAAGTATGAAACTGGAAACATTCACTCCTCCAATAACCCCACTGTGCATTTGCACGCGCGCATGCGCGCACACACACACATGCGAGCAAACACACACACACACACATTCCTAGCTGAGTGCAGTCCCTGAGCTACATGCTAAGCCCTCGGCTGTACGAGGCAGATCCGCTCTGCTTTGCTCTGACATACTTTTCTTTGTGCTTGAAAAGAATCAGCACTGGCAGTGAGGTGGTGTTTGTTGCCTATTCAAACTGCAGGCCTCAAAGTGGTGCTATGAGCCCGAGAGGTCTGCTATCTGCCAAAAGTCAGCTTTTCAGGGAACGGAGGGGAGCGGAGCTTCATTTTCCTGTGTCTGAGTATTCCTCAGCATGTGGAGGACAGTAATGTTATGTTACAACAGAACTTGGCTTACACCTGAGAACTGGTGTGTACATGTATCTCTTGGACTCTGCAAGCTGCAGTGAGTGTAATATTAGAATAAATGCTCCTTTATGAAATGTTCAAATGA